TTTGAACATAGAAAATTGAGAGGGTTTTAGGGGTAACTATTATATTTCATCAAAAAACGGACCAGCGGTAAATATTAAATTTAATATTTAATGAATTTATTAGTTTTGTGTGAATGTTTCTTCTTTCTGATAATGCTATTAATTAGTATATATGAAATAGAGCATGGTGTTAAAAGCTTATTTGATTGTTCCTGTAATTAATGAAGTAATTACATAAATTCACGTAATTCGTAAAAATTGATGGCATCCAAAATTACTTTAGAAAAGTAGGCTCCAGGGGGAAACCCTCCCCCCTTCCAATTTTTATTTCTTCCCTCTATCTTTCATTCTTTCCTTTTTGTTTTGATGTTATTACCGTACATATAGTCGTCCTTAGTCCACATTCCTGCCACTAGGGTACAGGTACAGGGTGTATTAATATACCTATCAATGGAAACTTTTCTTTTTTTTTGCAGATACTGTACTGCACGTCGAAGGTCATGTAAATAGTTCTCAGTTAAATCAGTCGTTGTAAACAAGGAAATAAATAACTTTCTCCTATTATAACTGACTTTTAACTCAACCGTTAAAGATACATTTATTTACATCAATTGTAACATTAATGAGGGACATCTGTACTGTACTGTTCTGAACTTTACTGTACTGTACATCAGTTGTAACATTAATGAGGGACATCTGTACTGTACTGTTCTGAACTGTGCTATACTGTTCTGTACTGGATACTGTACTATACTGTAGTGTACTGTACTGGACTATACTGTACTGAACTGTACTCTTTTGAACTGTTTTGTACTGTGCTGTGCTGTACTGTACTAACCTGTACTGTGCTATACTGTACATCAGTTGTAGCATTAATGAAAGACATCTGTATTGTACTGTACTGTGCTATACTGTACATCAGTTGTAGCATTAATGAGGGACATCTGTACTGTACTGTACATCGGTTGTAGTATTAATGATGGACATCTGTACCGTACTGTACATCAGATGGACCATTAATAATGGTGTTACAGCTACATTTATTTCTATAAATTGAAGGGTAAAGTCTATATATCTCCCTTAATATTGATCTTATTGATCTGAAATTAATTATGAGCAAAGAAACCTTAGCTTAAAGTGCCACTTTGTTCAATGTTCTTATGAATGCAAGCAGGTGAGTGCTAACAGGCATTAGTCGATCCATAGTTTACCATGATGAGGTGTATCAAGTGAAACATGTATATGGAGCAAGTAACATCATCACTACATTATAAGATGTTGTAACTGATAGACTAAGGTTAGGATATAAGTGCCTCTGGCAGTATGTCCCTCAGGCAGATGTGAACAAGACCAAATATACTGTAAAGTGTGTGGCCAGACATATGGCCACACTCTGGCAGTATGTCCCTCAGGCAGATGTGAACAAGACTAAATGTAAAGTGTGTGGCCAGACATATGGCCACACACTCCAAAACTACGTCCTTGACTGTGTAAAGATAGAACCTGAATATTAACCCCCAAGTGCAGTGCAGAAGAGTACAGTATAATATGGATCAGAACAGAACAGTACAGTATAATATGGATCAGTACAGAACAGAACAGTATAATATGGATCAGTACAGAACAGAACAGTATAATATGGATCAGAACAGAACAGTACAGTATAATATGGATCAGAACAGAACAGTACAGTATAATATGGATCAAAACAGTACAGAAGAGTACAGTATAATATGGATCAGGACAGAACAGTACAGTATAATATGGATCAGTACAGAACAGAACAGTATAATATGGATCAGTACAGAACAGAACAGTATAATATGGATCAGAACAGAACAGTACAGTATAATATGGATCAGAACAGAACAGTACAGTATAATATGGATCAAAACAGTACAGAAGAGTACAGTATAATATGGATCAGGACAGAACAGTACAGTATAATATGGATCAGTACAGAACAGAACAGTATAATATGGATCAGTACAGAACAGAACAGTATAATATGGATCAGAACAGAACAGTACAGTATAATATGGATCAGAACAGAACAGTACAGTATAATATGGATCAAAACAGTACAGAAGAGTACAGTATAATATGGATCAGGACAGAACAGTACAGTATAATATGGATCAGTACAGAACAGAACAGTATAATATGGATCAAACAAAATTTACTGAAAATTACAGTATAATACTGGATCAATTACACAGAACAAGAACAATTATAATATAGTCAGAACCAGAACAGAACAGAACAGTACAGTGCAGTATAATATGGATCAAGCAATTTTGAAGAATTACAGTATAATATGGATCAAAACAGTACAGAAGAGTACAGTATAATATGGATCAGGACAGAACAGTACAGTATAATATGGATCAGGACAGAACAGTACAGTATAATATGGATCAGGACAGAAGAGTACAGTATAATATGGATCAGGACAGCACAGTACAGATGTCCCTCATTAATGCTACAACTGAAATACAGTACAGTACTGTATAATATAGATCAGTACAGTACAGGGTTAAAGCTTCATATATAATAAAGACAATGTTGAATTTTGGTCAAACAAACGCTAAAACAGTCACCAGGAAAGTGATCTGGACAATAATAAATACTGACTCCACTTTACTGTATACACAATGTAATATATACTAGTGACCCAAAATTATATATAAAATACTCGTCTCTATGAGTTATTAGCAGTCACCTTCAACCCTTGCCATCATGTTATTTAATAATATTCTATCTAGACTCATTTCCAGCAATAATTAAGGTCATAAAACAGTAAATTATCATAAATATTACCTTGGCCCCTCCCTGGGCGTCGTCCAGACCAATCTAACATTTGGCTCTCGACTCAAAAAATAAACCAGCCATGGAATCTTCTTCTCATTGTGCCCATTAAATTCCATAAATACAAAAACCTATTATTTTAATGCTTCTTTACTCATAATAAATTTTAGGGCAATTACAACAATATTAATTTAAGACATCCACATATAGTATCTGAAGACCAGCCATTACTATACACATGTTCTACAATATTGGGGTTGTAATAAAATATTCAGCAATAGTTAAATACTAGTTAAATACTTACAGTATATCTCATTCAGTAAGATATTTATGTTTGGGGCACATCATTGTAAGGGCGCGTGTTTTCCAACACCTACACTACCCTTATCTTACTTACTTCTCTTGTCTTAGTTCTTACTCTTACTCAGTTCCATCATATATTCTTTTTACTTACTTCACTGGTCACTGCACGGAGAAATGGTTATTACAAATCACACTTAACCCAAAAATCACCCACAATACTCCAAGAACAAGTTTATTAAAATGAAATCAAAGGGAAAAACATATATAATGTATTTATAACTACCAGGTTCAACTCCTGGACTTATTGCAGACTCAGTACTCTCTTCTTTACTTATTTTCTTATTTCTATACTCAACAGTAATTACTCTGATCTTACACTCGTACTGCACCGAACCTTACTGGTGTTACATTACATGGCATAGTAGGACCGGTTCCTTGGCCCTACTCACAATACATATTACATGGCACTCCTTGTACATTACTTTACTGCCACTCCAAGTGGGTACTTCTACTTAACATACACGTTAATACTGAAACCAGCAGATACGTGGGTCCACTACCCAACATGAAATAATTATTTCCAACTAATTATCCCTAACATACATGTTACAACACTCTCTGTGGACATATACTTCCAGGGTGCATCCCAGGGTAGAACACTGAGATTCACGACCGTTGTTGTGGTCAGTGGCAGCCAGACACATGGCGAGTCTGGGGTCGGGCACTACGAGGCAGTGGAGCATATTAATCAGGCCGCATCGGTGCCATCATTTCATATATTGTTCCCTGCTGAGTAGACGATAAGTTTAACCTTTGCTTACTACTGTACTGTAAATAATATTATTAAAAAGGCTGATGAAACAAAATGGAGTATTATTATGAGTGATATTTAGCCAACACCAAATGTCTACACTAAGGCCATGGTAGAAGAGATTTACATCTTAAGAGCAGATAATTATAACTTGTGTTTAATATAAATAAAAGTGGCATTTGTCACTTGTCTTTATTTCTGCTACATTCATTGAGTTTGTTCAAGTGGTTTTATATTGATGTATATCACTGTATTCAAGTGCATGTGTCACATTTACCTTCAGTTAAAGTCATTCAAACATTTATTGAATTCTGTTTTTTTCATGCACAAGTTTATAATGTTTGAGAGTACTCTTCCGGGAGAAACATTTTCCACATTCCTCACATTCAAACTCTTTCATACCACTGTGTCCAAGAATGTGTCTCTTGAGAGTACCCTTTAGTGCAAAATGTTTCCCACATTCCTCACATTTAAACTTCTTTATACCACTGTGTACAAGAATGTGTGTGTCTTGAGAGTTCTCTTCCGGGAGAAATATTTCCCACATTCCTCACATTCAAACTCCTTTATACCACTGTGTCCAAGAATGTGGGTCTTGAGATGACCCTTCTGGGAGAAACATTTCCCACATTCCTCACATTCAAACTTCTTTATACCATTGTGTACAAGAATGTGTTTCTCAAGAGTACTCTTCTGAGAGAAACATTTCCCATATTCCTCACATTCAAACTTCTTTATACCATTGTGTACAAGAATGTGTTTCTCAAGAGTACTCTTCTGGGAGAAACATTTCCCACATTCCTCACATTCAAACTCCTTCACACCATTGTGTACAAGAATGTGTGACTTGAGAAGACCCTTCTGGGAGAAACATTTCTCACATTCCTCACATTCAAACTCCTTTACACCATTGTGTACAAGAATGTGTGACTTGAGATGACCCTTCTGGGAGAAACAGTTCTCACATTCCTCACATTCAAACTCATTTACACCATTGTGTACAAGAATGTGTGACTTCAGATGACCCTTCTGGGAGAAACATTTCTCACATTCCTCATATTCAAACTCCTTTACACCATTGTGTACAACAATGAGTGCCTTGAGAGTACTCTTCTCGGAGAAACATTGCCCACATTCCTCACAGGAGAACTTTTTATCTCTGCTTGACATTGTGAACTTGTACTTAGTTACACTTGGTCTTGAGATGTGACATGACAGTATCTGAAACAAAATATTTTGCCTTAGATTATATTCTTATGAAATTATATTTTTAAACGAAAACTACAAGTGACTAAATCAACTTGTGTAAAATAAGAGTAAAACTAAATAAAAAATAAAAAATAAAAAGGTTATATTAATCTACACCACAAAGATGACGGAAAACCAGCTTTTTTTAAGTGAGACAGATTGTATGAGTATGGAAACACAGAAGAAGGCAGAGCATTCAACAGTGTGAGGAAAGAAGGAGGTACTATAATGGGTTATTATAGTGTGACTGACATCCACACAGCCACAGTTTGGCTGTGTGAGTAAAGAAGGATGTACTATAACGGGTTATTATAGTGTGACAGACATATACAGTGGGGTATGCTATAACGAACGTAATTGGTTCCAGAACCTCGTTCGTTATAGGATTAATCCGTTCCAGGCCCCCAAATACAACCACTTAACACTGGAAAAAATTCTGTGGAAAATGTAAAAAATACGGTACTTTATCTTACCTTAGTGTTGTTCAGCATGCAGGACAGGAGGCAGAGGGGGAGGGGGGAGGAGAGAATTATGGAGAAGAGGTGGAAGGAGAGGAGTCATCCTTCCTAGCCCTCTTTGGTGACTGTCTCACAGGCACTTTGTCTGTAGGTTCTTTTGTTACCTTTGTAAAGAAGGAATCCAGGGTTGGCTGCTTCAACCTTGATTTCTGGACCTTCCAAAAGTAGTTCATAACATTGTCATTGAACACACTGATGGCCTTTTGCACAGAACCAACATCAGGATGATAATCCTCAGCAAGCTTGGACAGTTTGCTCCAGCAAAAGAACGCATCTTTCAGATCTTTGGCTGGAATGATGTGGCTTTCCTCCTTGTCCTCCTCCTCCTCCCCTGACTCCTCAGAAGTTAAGCTCCGCTTCAGTGTCTCGTTTTCCTCTTTGTGAAGCTCAAGCAGCTCCTCAGTGGACAATTCCTTACTGTGCTCTTCCACCAACTCCTCAACATCATCATCATCCACTTCCAGGCCCATGGAATTGCCCAGAGACACAATTTCATGAACAACAGCCTCTTCTTCTAACTCTTCGAAGCCTTCAAAGTCTCTTTGAAGGACACATTCAGGCCACAATGGCCTCCAAGCAGCACAAAGACACCTCACAGTAACCTCTTTCCAGGCTGAGGTAATTAAAAATACAGCATCTGCTATATTGAAGTGACTCTTCCAAAATTTCTTCAAGCTAACATCACTGGAAGAAGTGGACGCAAAACATTTTCTAAACAGTGCCTTTGTGTACAACTTCTTAAAGTTAGAAATTACCTGTTGATCCATGGGCTGGATGAGAGGTGTTGTGTTGGGTGGCAAGAAGTGCACAGTGATGAAGTTCAACTCCTCTGGCAATTCAACCATCAAATTAGGAGGGTGGGCTGGTGCATTGTCCATCACCAACAAAGCTTTCAGTGGAAGATTATTCTCCCTGAGGTATTCCCAAACACTGGGTCCAAACACCTCAATCACCCACTCAAGAGAATAAATTCCTGGTCACCCAAGCCTTTGGGTTTGACCGCCACATAACACCAAGGCGGGTCTTCCTAATTTTTTTGAAAGCTCAGGGGTTTTCTGCGTGGTACACAAGGAGTGGCTTTATTTTGCAGTCACCAGAAGCATTAGCACAAAGAAGGAGGGTAAGCCTGTCTTTCATTGGCTTATGGCCAGGGGCAGAAGTTTCCTCCTTGGTAATGTATGTACGGCGAGGTATTTTTTTCCAAAAAAGTCCAGTTTCATCACAGTTGAATACCTGCTGAGAAACAAAGCCTCCCTCTTTAATAATATTCAAAAAATGTCATGGTGTTCCTTAGCTGCTTACTTATCTGCACTAGCAGCATCACCATGTCTCACAACACTATGTATTTTATTTCTCCTTCTGAAACCAGTAAACCACCCCTTGGTACCCATAAACACTGGCACATCACTATCACTTGCACTGGGAGTCTTGGCTTTAAGGTCCTCAAACAATTGTCTGGCCTTCTCACAAATTATAGCTTCACTAATGCTATCACCTGCCATTTCTTTCTCCTTTATCCACACTAAGAGTAAATTTTCCATCTCCTCAGGGGAGGGTACCAATCCAGTAGTGTGTCTTAGTGTGGGAGGAAACGACATAGGTAAGGTTAGGAGTGAGGAACTTTTCAAGAGGTATAGGGAGGCGCTGGGGAAGATTAGAGATAAGGGAGGGATCCCGATAGTATGTGGTGTCTTGCCTAGAAGAGGGGTTGGTCGTGAATGGCTGTCCAGGGCAATTGCTATTAATTGCCGACTGGAAAAACATTGTGCAAACAATGGTTGGGCATTCATTGATAACTGGCAACGATTCTATGGCAACGACTACCTGTACTGTCGCGACGGAGTACACTTGTCTCGTGAGGGGGTAAAGACGTTGTCTGCATCCCTGGAGCGTGAAATTGTCACTCCGAAGGGGGGGTTTCGCCAGTAGAGAGGGGTCGGGGAAAGTGGGAGTCAAAAAACAAGCAGGTCCTGGGAAGTAAAATTAGTTGCTCAGGACAAGGGGTAAAACAGGACCAGGGAAGAGTAGGTTTAAATGTATACTATACAAACAGTAGGAGCGTTAGAAATAAAATAGACTTGCTGAGAGCGGTTGTATGTACCGAGAATGTAGACGTCATAGCAATCACCGAAACTTGGATGAATCTGGCGAGCAAAATTTTTTTATCAGAGTACCACATAGAAGGGTACAACCTTTTTCACAAGGACGGGGAAGGTAGGAAGGGGGAAGGGGTCGCACTCTTCGTCAAGGATACCAAAATAGGGCGGCAGATTAATTAACGGCAGGATGCAAATGCACTACAGGAGGATTTAAATGAACTGCAGGAGTGGTCAGAAAAATGGCGAATGAAATTCAACACCAGCAAGTGCAGTGTACTTAATATTAGAAGAACAAATACTGTAAACGTATACAGCCTTAACAACATCGAGCAAGAGAAGTCAACTTGTGAAAGAGACCTAGGGGTACTCGTAAGCCCGGACCTTCGGCCTAGAAAACAGTGCGTGAATGTTCAAAATAAAGCAAACAGAGTATTAGGTTTCACATCTAGAAGTGTAAGTAATAAGAGTGCGGAGGTTATATTGCAATTATACTTTGCGCTAGTCAGGCAGCACCTCAATTATGCTTTTCAGTTCTGGTGCCCTTATTATAGAATGGATATCAATTCACTGGCGTCGGTGCAGCGAAGAATGACGAAAATTAATACGGGACTTAGAAAATTTCCCTATCATGATAGATTAAAGAAACTAAACTTGCATTCCCTAGAAAGACAAAAAGTGCGGGGAAATATTATAGAAGTATTTAAGTGGGTGAAAGGAATCAATAAAGGAGATATAGAGAAAGTTCTTATAACATCCGAGCAAGATAGGACTCGTAGCAATGGATTTAAGTTGGATAAGTTTAGGATTAGGAGGGAGATAGGAAGAAACTGGTTCACAAATGAGTGGAACAAGCTTAGCAACTTTGTAGTAAGTGCTGGGGCGCTGGAAAGTTTTAAAAGGAGACTAGATAGATTCATGGACGATAGAGGGTGGCTGTAACTCCCGACAGGAGCTGCTATGCACAGGTCAATCAACCTATTGCACACTCCTTATTTTCTTATGTTCTTAACTCCCTAGCTAAATTTCTTACATTATTTCTACCGTCCTGCTATTCAACATACAGTATTAGGCTAATGGTTACGATAGCATTGCTCAACTCACGAGCCATATTGGATGAAATGTAAATTTACCGACTTGTATTGATAAATACCGTATATATTCGTGTGTAGTTCGAGTTTTCAAGACCAAATTTTTAGGCAAAAAATTGGGGGTCGACCTCTACATGGGTAATAGTTTTGTTAGGTTGAATCCGTGCACGATGGGAAGGCCAAGGAGCAGCTTTTAGCTTCAGACATGAAAAATATTTACCATATACTGCCAGTAAACAAAGGAAACGTAAAATATGTACCAATTAGTAATGAAAAGTTGTGCAGTGCCTTCAGCAGATGAAGCTCACCAACTTACAAGAGGCTAAGTTATCTTACAACGTGCTTTCAGTAGTCTATGTTGAAATTCTTAGCACAGGCTAACTTACCATGTCATATACGGTATCACAGTACTATTGATCTACAAAAAATACCGGTAATAAAAACCTTTTCGATATTTCACACTTAATGTAATACCTGGTAATCTACCTCAACCTCATAATGTTTACAACGACGCATGACGCACCACCAGCTGTTGAGTATCAGCTAGACGGTACACGTGTTTTTCGAATCGTTTTCAGTTAAAAAACTGTTACATCACACGTGTATTTTATCTTAACTGTGCCTGAATGAATATATTCTCAGAAATAAATAGTAGTTTTGCTGAAATGTGATGTATTTCAATGTAAAATAGGATAAAATACATGACAAAAACAAAAGACTTTACCTAACCTTCCGATGTTCAAGAGATGTTACTCGTTTTATTAATAGTTTTCGGTTAAAATACTGTTATATTACAATGATATTCTATTCATACTGTGCTTGATATACTACATTCACGGAAATGTAATATTTTTGCTCAAATGACATACGTATTACAGTGGAAAGTGGGGTAAAACCATGGCAAAAACAATCGACTTTCGCTTTCTTTTGTTGTTCAAAAGATGTTACCATAATCGCTTTTCGAATGGTTTTCAGTTAAAAAATTTTGTATTACAATAATATTTCCTCCTAATTGACTTGAATAAACACTTCAATGGAAATATAATATATTTTTGCTGAAACTACCTGCGTTTCAGTGTAAAGTGTCGCAATACTGGTAAACAATTTGCCTTCGGCGCTCGGTGTTTCAGGCACGGCGACCCTCAGTTTATAGGACGTAGAGTGTTTTTAGTGAAGGTTTTGCTGTTCCATTACCCGCAAAAACTTGGGTCAACCTATAAACGAGGCATATCATAAATTACTGATTTCTTGGTCAAAAAATCAGGGTCGACCTATAATTGAGGTAGAATTATAGACGAGCACAGGTTGTACCTCTCTAGTCCGGCAACCTCGGGACCTGACCGGTGCCGGACCATGGAAATTGCCGGACCATGGAAATTCACCCTTTTCCTGGATAGATAGTGACTTGTGCTTATGCCTGGAAGCACTAGCACCACTTTCTCTGCGTCATGGTCTCTTTGAAGACATATTGAAGGGTTAAATGTCGTATAGTAGCTTCTCAAATTTCGCGAGTTTTTAATTCTTAACGTATTTTATTGGAACACACAAAAAAATAAATAAATAAAAATTTTGACGGCGGAAACTTGAATTTCGACGGGTTTGAACGGCCCGCCAACGTGCAGACGACGTGCATAATCGTGTAAACAGCGTCATTTCTCTTATGTACAAAAGATTCATTATTGTTTATTACTGAATGTCTTTTTTATTGAATTAATGTTTATGTGTGCAAAATGAGCAATACAATTCATTAATAATACGTAGAAAATTAAAACACATGAGGAAATGACACAGCATTGTTTTCGTTGATTACAAAACCAGTGACTGACTGGTTCTACATATAAAACTGAAGAAAATAAGACCTTGGTTGTAGCTGTAGTAAAATTAATATGGTTGTTTTAAGTAATGTTATTTAATGTTAATAAATGGAACAATAGAAGTAGCTAACGATAATGGTAAAGAAAAAGAGAGATCGCATATGTAAGTGCGCATGCGCACACGTGAAAACATATCGTCATTACTTTACATAAGAATATGAAAGCAACACTTATTTACTGTTCATATATATTTTAATTAATGTTTCTGAATTTGTTTTTATTGAATTAATGTACGTGTGTGCAAAATTAACAATACAATTTATTAATAATACGTGGAATATTAGAGGAGACGAGACGGCTGCCGGCATTGTTTATGTTAAAGCTTACGAAACCAGTGACTGATTGGTTCTACATATAAAACTGAAGAAAATAAGACCCTGAGTTTAGCTGTAGTAAAATTAATGTAAAAAATGAATATGGTTGCTTGAAGTACCTGTAATGTTATTTAATGTTAATAAATGGAACAATATAAGTAGCTAACCATTAATGGTAAAAAAAAAAGTGAGACTGCTCGTATGTAAGTGCGCACATGTGAAAATATATCGTCATTACTCTACATAAGAATATGAAAGCAACACTTATTTACTGCTCATATATATTGAAGGGTTAAATGTTGTACTCTGTATAGACAAGCAGAGAGAGAGAGAGAGAGCAGCCGAACTGCCGGATGTAAACAAACCTTAATTTCCCGCGGCTTTTTTTTTTTTTAAGGGGATTAGCCCACCCGGGCATAGGTCACTGACCCACATTGGGGCCTGAGGGGCAAAAATTTAATACTCCTGTAATAATAATAATAATTCAGATAAAAAAAAAAAAAAAAAAGCTGCCTATCTACCTATTGGACAAACTAAAATCGTTCCGGACCACGGGAGTTTCCGGACCACAGAATGCCGGACTAGAGAGGTACAACCTGTATATACGGTAGATTGACAGATACAGTATACAGTAGATAAAACAGACTGAGATAGGTATTGATAGATATACTGAAAGGCACAAAAAGACAGACAGACACACAAACACACATAAACAGTTAAGTAGATAGAAAGATATAAACGGAAGACAGACAGGGAGACAAATGACTCCTTTAGTTTACCTTGCCATATGGTGGTGGTGGTGCTGTGGTAGTGGTGGCGGTGTTATAGTGTTCATTGGAATTAAATTCTACAATGTCAGCTCTTTGTCTCAGCCTGCAGTTATCATTTTCAGTTGTGATGGTGCTGCTCAATTTCCTAAGGTTTAGTCGTTAACTCATATGTAACAAAAAAATAAATAAAAATTATTATACACAATACTGTAGTTTATGAAAAAAATATGTCCATAAATTAATAGTCATCCAGTCAGAAGTTGTTTGTTTTATGCATTTGGTTTATGTGAACTTTCTTGGGACTGTAAGCCTTGCATGCTTGACATAATCTGTTATTTTTGCCTTAATATTCCCAGCTAAATTGGTGGTACATTTAATACAGTATTTTAGACAGGTAGATATACAGTAGAATGCTAGTTATCCGGCACCTACAGTGCACAGTGCTACAGTCTGACCTCACAAATTCGTGTCTCAGAAAAAAAACACTTTTTTAACACTTATTAAACTCCATATAAATGACGTGGCTTATAAATAAAGAAAATATAATAAAAACTACACAAAGGTACTACTTTATATGCTGATTAAGGATCTTGGTTCATAGTTTAAAAATTCATGTAATTAGTGTTAATTAATGACCTTTGAAATAATTCAAGATATTTAGAATATCTAAAAAGTCAATTATGCTGTGAATGCAAGTTTTAAATCACCTTTATATACATTCTCTAAATAATAAATAAATACTGACAGATATTGGTAAGCCATATGGATAGACATACAGTACATAGATTGACACTGACAAATACTTATATTGATAAATAGATTGACAAATATAGATAAAACCGACTGAGATGGGTACTGGCAGATAATGGATAGATAAATTGATAGATATACTGAAAGGCACAGAAAGACAGACACACAAACATACATATGCAGTTAGATCAGTGGTTCCCAACCTGTTCCGCTCTGTGACCCCAATACAAGATATGATAACTTCCGTTGCCCAGTCTAAATCTTTCTTCGATGAAACAAACTAAACGTCGCTGGAATGAGCAGTTGGGTGTGATACTTTAATATTTTATTATTATTAGTGGTATATACAGTACCAGTAGCTACAGGGACAATATAAAATAGAACTGCCACACAATAAAATATTCCAAGTCATGCATAGTTTATGTGAACAATATAAACCTCTGTTGTGTCCGCAGTAAATGCTGTGTATTATAATCTCACATAAATAAACTTAACTCCACAACAACTTGGGTACTCAAAACTATGGATGCTGTGCAGGTGTGCATAATTTAAGAAGGGTCAAAAAGAACATTAAAAAAGTTATTTAAAACTCAGTGGGTTGGCTGACATTGGTTTTTGTCACCAATTGTGGCATCAGTGGTTTAGTCACAGTCAGGGCACAGTGGAAGCTATCTTCCACGTGGAGTCGATAGCGCTGTTTTTATTTGATGCTCAACAGCGTGAAAATACCCGCTTCACAGAGACAGGTAGACGAGAATGGCAAAGCACCAGGATAACCAGTTTGCTGATAATAAGGAAGCGGACCATTGCCACCCAGAACTCTGTCAAGTATCATTAGCTCAGATGGTTTAAACCATGAGTCAGCAACCTTTATAGTACACTAATTAGCCACATTGTAAACAAGAAATTAGCCACCACACAGTGTACTTATCAATGTGCATTAAATAAAACTTGAAATTGGGCATTAAGAAATATAGAACTAAACTTTATACTGTACTGGTACTGTATTCAGACAAGTACTGTAATGGTATACGAAAAGTTGTTGAGTATCCTATTGGGTGGTAATAAATACTAATACAACAAAATTATGATTCACAAAGAACAATACAGAGGAAATAGTTACTATGACGTGCATTCAATTCAATTGAATAGAATATCCTCTGCAATTTTTGTGATATCTGGTTCAAATTTAGTAAAAGCTACTACAGTACCACAATTGCCTTTTTTATGACTGTCAGTGAGCTTTAAGAGGTACAGTACAGTACTTGCTCTTTACACAAGTCAACACCTTAGTGTTACCTGATTCACATTTATTTTCTCCAAAGTCTAACAATGACTCTTGCAGTTTTGTGAATATGTTTCAGGATATTAATCTGCAGTCCAAGATCTACAGCTGTGCATCACCAAGAGCACAGTACTACCACGTTGGAAACACCGCTTCTTGTCCGAATATTGAAGTTAAGCAACGTTAGTACTGTACCTAGATGGGAGACTGCCTGGCCCTAAGAGCACCACATGCTCTTGACATAAAGACTCTACTGGAAATAAGTATCTCATGGCTTTGTCTGCTTATAAACAAAAGGATTTGAAACAGATTTTCAACATTAATTGTTATAAGTATTTTATGTACTAGCAGTGTCAGGTATAATTTACCAGTTTAACAAAGAGTATCAGATTAGGTGTTCCAACATCCTTATCTTACCTTATCAACTTAGCCGGCCGCTCATCACATATCTTAGATGCTAAAATGCCGGCCACAAATATGAAGGTAGCAGACCCCTGGTTTAAACTCTGCTAGGAGGGTCAAGCCATGTTTAGTTTTATTATGAACTCACATGGTTCAAATTACTCCCACGGTCAACAGGCTGGGAACCACTGACCGTAATATAGATTGAAAAATATAAAAAAGGAAGACCGACAGACAGACAAATGACTAACAGCAGCACATTTACAACAACTTGTCTTAGGAGTTTGGTGGGCACAAAGATTTCCTGTATAGGCTATAAGAGCTGTTCCTATAGTTTACCTTGCTATAGGTGGTAGTGCTGTGGTAGTGGCAGTGATGATAGTGCCATGGTGGTGGTAGTGTTGGTGATAGTGATGGTGGCAGCTCTTGATCCATGCTCCATTATCATTTTCATCTGTTATGGAGCAGTTCAATTTCCCAGAGTTTTGTTGTAACATCTCCTGTAACAAACAAAAATTATATTTACTATAAAAAAAACTTGGGGAGGTTAGGTTAGGTTAGACCCAGACAGCTGCTGCAGTCTATTATCTTCCAAACTTACTTAACACAGTCAACATTACAACACACAGCGGTTAATATTGACAATTGACCCGTGGACGAGTTATTTGTTTTACTGTTTATTTTCTTACTTTATTTTCATTAGTGAGTTCTGATATGATAACCATTTCTTGTACAAATGTTTAGTTTTGTAGATAATTAGGCGCACACTAATTTGTCTTCCCAGCTGTAATGAGGCCGCACTCTGCTGCGGCACCTTTCCCCGGGCTCGCGGCAATTTCATTTTCAGCATGACGTGTGAAGGTTGTCGCCTGTCTTATATGGACGTAATTTGAGAATATAGGGATAAAAACAAGGAGACCCTTCAATTGTTCAAAGACCATGGCATTGTTCCTTTAAACAGAGACTGTCCACACTACAGGAATCCCTGTGCTTTTAGACTGGAAAGAAATGTTTTCATCACTTCCTCAACGCCGTGGCCTGACGTTTCCCGCCATAACAATAAATCACTCCGCCCCCCCGAGCTGCATAAGTGCCAATGCGGCCGCATGATCTCACGGGAGGACTCGGGTGCAGAGTCCCCCGGTAAGGAAGTTAGGTAAGGTTAGGTAGGTTTGTTTGGCGGGGTTGGTTAGGTCTGTGTTTCATACCCACAACGGTTAAGTTAATTAAATTTTAGTAATATCCATTTTTTAACTCATATGCACAAACTACAACAGAGTCCACTACAAAAAACAGTTAAAATCCGGAGTTTTGAAAATCGTTTTCTATCAATTTAGGCCGTGGGTTAGTTATGAATAATTACCCACATAAAATATACCAGTATATTACACATAAAATATATCAGTATATACATATATAAAATATGCCTGTGTATACATATACGGTATATTAATGCAGTTTGGCCAACACACGGCGACTGTTTTTACCATCCCCAACCTTTAAATCTCCTTTTATTTGGAGTATTTCTAAACCCATTTCAACCAGGGGGGCAAAGTATAATAATTTCAGAAATTAATTTTAAAGTTTTTCCAAACTTTTTTGGGGGGTATAACTCTAAAACGGGTACTTTCCCCCGGAAATAAAGGTCAAATTCGATTAAATCCCCCCAAAATATACACTTGGATAAACTAAATTCTATACTCTAGGCCTAGGGCAAACTGTAATGTTACCCGGCATACATCAGTATTCATTTACCAGGTGGAAATAAGATACATAAGACAATTACGGATACTTACAAAATGTTACCACAAGGTCCACAGACACCACACCACAGCTCACGCCGAGAACGACTTTGTTGTGTGAGTTGGCAGAGACTGGTGACCAAGAGTAGCGGAAACAGACCTTAAGAGTAGCGGACCTCAATGAAAGTATCCCCCTGCTGGGGTCTGTAGGACGTAGTGCTTGGGGCAGGAAGAGGAGTTGGTGTCTGCTTAGAGAAGCAGTGCTGCTCTAGGGTGTCTAACCTGCGGTGTAAAGACAGCAGCTGTAGAGCCGATGAGAGCTGCCTCTGTGTGGATAAGCCAGTCTTCCATGTTACTTTAAGACTGGGAGAGTGATCGGTTTCTCCTCCATCCTGTGTGAGTGCGAATCTCAGGGGGTCACCATTTGTGGGGTATGAGATGTTTGGTTCACACTCAGGATGGGATGGAGAAACGAAACTCACAATGTGCTCTCTGTATACATGTTGTATTGGATGTAAAGTGCAGCTTGGTGCTGGGAAGTGGCAGCGTGGTTACAAGCGTAATGCAGAGAGAGCTGGTTGGTGAGGATGCTCAGAGGAGGACCAGCTTGTGGGTCGCCACGCTCGCCGGCGGGAGCGAGGGCCGCCAGGCAGGAGCGGAGGAGGTGGTGTTACTAGCTGGTTGGTGTAGGTAGAAAGCGATAGGTCACCACGAGGTCAGGTCTTATATAGCGGAGGTAGGCGTGGCTTAATAGTTGACCTGAGTTATGTGAGGCGGCGCTGGTTGACCTAGACCACGAGGCATACACTGGGGAATTCGCGGGGTCGGCTACTCAGCGACACCCGGCGTTTGTAGGGGACGAATCCACTACAACCACACCCCTCTTGCAAGTTTATTGAGAAAGGTTCGTAAATAAATGCTGAACTCACATAACCCAAATGTAGCCGCAATGAAATAATGGTCCTACATGAATAAATCAGACTGCCAATCACTTCTCGACTGGTATTTGGTGTCACAAAGTCACAAAAAATTGGTAAACTTAATTTAATCTGAGTTAATAGATCGAGTGCATGTACCTAACCTAACCTAACACAACTCAGATTAAATTAAGTTTACCAATTTTTTGTGACTTATGACACCAAATAATAATCGAGAAGTGATTCACAGCTCGATTTACGCTTCTACGACCATCATTTGACTTCATTGCGGCTACATTTGGGTAATTACTCGCTCCGTCGGTACATGCACGCGATCAATTAACCCAGATTAAAGTAAGTTTTCCAATTTTTTGTGACTTTGTGACACCAAATACTAGTCGAGAAGTGATTAGCAGTCCGATTTATTCATGTAGGACCATTATTTGACTTCATTGCGGCTACATTTGGGTACATTTGGGTAATTAGTTGGACCGCTTCAAAGACATGCCGCCACCAATTCAAAGGTGAATACATTGCATATGCTGATGATGTCACCCAGATCATCCGCCATCCAGGCAAGGCCAAACAGATGATGGCATTAAAAACAGCTTGCGCCATAATACAAATAAATAATTACGAGAAGAAATGGAAAATAAAAACTAATACACAGAAACTAAAAATCATATACATTTCAAGGATAAACTCAGCACCAATCACAGTAAACAACGGAGAAACACAATACTCAAACGAAGGAAAAATACTGGGGCTGACAATAACAAGAACCGGAATAAATAAACACATAACAGAGCGGAATAGACTAGCCCAAATACAGCTTACCAAATTAAGAAGATTCGGCAAAATGGAAGAGAAAATACAACTACACCTATTTAAAGCACTTGTCCGCCCCCATCTTGAATACCCGCCAATACCATTAAACACGATCAGCCTTACCAACCAATTAAAACTCCAGGCAACACAAAACAAAGCCATCCACAGAGCCTCCAAACAACGTCCCCCATACACAACCAAAATTAAAGAGCTTCACGAAAAATACAACATTTTACCACTGAGCATAAGAACATCCAGCCAAGCACAGGCAGTATGGTACAAACTAGAAGTAATGGAAGACGAAATATATACAGTAATCGACTAAAAACAGAGGACACCACAAGATCACACAACTGGTGGCCAAAAAGCCTTCTCTATAACCCTCAAGAGCCAGAACTATTGTACACTAAACAAAAGATGAGAGTTTTCTACTAGTTACACAAGGACCTAGTAGACCTCTCCAATAACAAACAACCCCATTCGTCTTCACCACACGCAGCCTTTAAATATTAGGGATATGATAAGCAACAGATCTTACTTTTAAGGAGAGGTTCTTACCCATATATTTCACACCAGATTCATCGTGCAGGAGAAACGGACCAGACAGTGTGGCGTAAATATTAAGGCCGTGCAGCAAGGGCTTCCATGGTTTCCTGTCAGTTTCTACGTCCGCCTCAGTTACACATTCTTTACATTTTTGTTTATTACGAATTGTACACTTAAAATAACAAATGAAACTTACTCACTATTAAATTAAATATCATATTCATTAATACCATTATATTAAAGTAAATAACAATAACATCTGTTACATAACCCTGTATTGGTAACCAAAATACCGACGCTAGACACCAGTTTAAAGTGAACATTGAAAAGCCTTTTATCTTCCCAGACTCATAAGGATTTTGTGTGTTAGTAACTTTCAGAATAATATGTATGTTGTCTAGCAAATAAAATGTGTATATGTATGATAACCGTGTTTTTCTTTGCCTTAAGAGAATAGAAACACATTACCAGTAAATTAGGAGTGGAACCTAACATAACCTATCCGAATCTTAATTATCCTAATCTAATGTAACTTTATTCCTAACCTATTTTTACTTTTACTTTTATCTTCGTTAGCCACTTGAGCGGTCGGTCACGTCTCTGTTAGTCTTTTCTGCACTGATGGCAAGTACTGGGCATGTACTGGCTCCTGATTGTATCTATTTCTGCCCCAGTGTTGGTCAAGTCTGGTCTTGAACGAGCTCACACTCGATGACCAAACTTGACTTATCCTAATCAAACCAAATCTAATATAATACAGCCTAACCTATAAAATATCCAAATATAACCTATCCAAACCAATATAATGTACCAGAGTTTCTAATAATGCTGAAATCCATTTATTCATATCGGTTGTTTTGTTGATAATCTGTAACGTTGTAGTGGATTCCTCCCCTACAAACGCCGTGTGTCGCTGATTAGCTGACCCGCCGCGTATCTCCCAGAGTATCCCTCGTGGTCAAGGTCAGGTAACCAGCTTCGGTTCGGCGGGGGCCTACCATCAAGCCACGCCTACCCCCGCTATATAAGACCTCACCTGGCAGTCATCGGCCTCTTTCTACTTACCGCCACCAGCAAGCAACATCTCTCAACAGCTCCACACCACATGCTCCCTCAGAAAGCTCCTCGCCCTACAGGAACTCTGAGTAAGCTTCGCCCGATCTAGTATCTCTTTAACACTGTGCTGTGCAACAGTATATACACGGGAAACACATTGTGACTTTCTGTTCTACCTCAATCCTGGGTGTTGGATATATTACATGTACAGGTACGTACGTTGTGAGGCCAAATAAGAGACCCTGACAACCTGCCACAACAGTATGCTACAACGTAAAATACATTTCGCATGTTTTTTCTAAAATTCCATCATGTACTAGGTAGGAGGCAGGTACCAAACAGGGAAGTACTACCACCTGGGAAGATATTGGAAGCATAATGTGTTGCCTAATGGTAGACCCTGCTACCATATGGCATCACGAAAATTGTGACCAAGTCCCAAGTTGCTGATCTGACTTTCTGCCTCATTTACACACAATTGCTTGGTCTTAATTGTGTCTCTTACTATTGACAACACAACATACATATATTGTGTATCACTTTTGATTTTTTTTCATTTTGTATTTCTTTGTGGTTCTTTTTTTTTATTATTATTATTATTATTATTATTATTATTATTATTATTATTATTATTATTATCGCCCCCAAGGCCCCGACGTGGGTCAGTGACCTGTGCCCGGATGGGCTAATCCCCGTAATAATTTTTTTTTAACTTTTTGTTATTAAAACTGCTATAAGTAAGGTTAATTTCTCCAATACTCGTATAACTCTGCCCTGCATTAACTCCATAGTAATTATTCTATACTTAGTAAATAAATAATTATAATTATTATTATTATTATTATTATTAACCGAATCTCGAGAATTTTATCTTTACAGTCAATAATTCAGACAATTCTAAGACACTTTTCTTCTATGGCGTTTCCCGCACAAATGACTTATATTATTATTATTATTATTATTATTATTATTATTGTTGTTGTTATTGTTAACCATTTAATACTACGGTAACACCTTTAAACTCATTCAAAGTAATTTAATTTCCGCATTTAATCTCATTCATGAAATTGTTTATTTACGTTCGTTTTCTTTATTGGATAAAAGAAAATGTAACTTTTACTGGGGGACTTCTTTATTTTTTATTATGGTTACAGGATAAAACAATTATTTTATTTTAGTGTAATATATTTTATTTTCTCATCTTCGCCACGATCAACCAGTTAGTCGCTTGGAAGTTCGGCCACGTCTCTGTTAGGCACTGTTGGCACTGTGGGCACATACTGGCTCTCTGTTACTGTTGGCAGCCAGCGTGAGATTGTAGTGGATTCCTCCCCTACAAATGTTTGTCGCTGAGTAGCCGACCCCGCGAATTCCCCAGTGTATGCCTCGTGGTCCAGGTCAACCAGCGACGCCTTACATGACGGAGGTCAACTATTAAGCCACGCCTACCTCCGCTATATAAGACCTGACCTCGTGGTGACTTACCTCTCTTTCTACCTACACCAACCAGCAAACAACACCTCCGCTTCTGCCTGGCGGCCCTCGCTCCCGCCAGTGAGCATGGCGACCCACAAGCTGGTCCTCCTCTGAGCATCCTCACCAACCAGCTCTCTCTACATCACGCTTGTAACCACGCTGCTACCCCCCAGCACCAAGCTGCACTATACATCCAATACAATATGTATACAGAGAGCACATTGTGAGTTTCCTTTCTCCATCCCATCCTGAGTGTGAACCAAATAAAACGTACCCCACAAATGGTGACCCCGGAGATACGAACTCACACAGGATGGAGGAGAAATAACTCATACCCCACAGGATCTCTACATACTTTATTACTTAACAATAGATTGATCCTACAAAGGCCACTGGCGTCCCCCATTCGGCATGGAAGCCTATAATTGGGTGGCCCCTTAGGTTGTAATAAGGTAAGATGCTCTTTAACATTTCTTCATCAACAACAACACACAGACATTCGAGCATAAACCAATTTTATATCACTTCCCCAAATAATTTATTATTTCAAAACTTTTAGGATTATGAATAGTAAAATGCTAAATATTAATATAATTTCAATCATATTCTTCATTTGATGATTATTCGCCCAATATAAATGAAAATATTTACATGAAAAAGACACTATGAACGTCGCTATCACAGTTGACAACAAGTAGTTAGTGTTACATTAATACCACGAATAAAATTGATAAACTACTCATTTAAAAATCTAAATTAATATTAGACTTAATCGAATCAAAAGTCAGTAAATGATTGTTATTTTATTCTAAAGTAGCTAATATTGATTTTAAGTTGTTTAAATACATGATTAATTGCAACTAAATAAGTAATGGGATATATTTCCTCTACAGATCAAACTATTTAGAGTTAGGCTATTCAAAAAAAAAAAATTAAGTCTATATTTATGAAATATTATTTAAAACCATGTATTAATGGTGAATCTTGAAAATATAATTAAAAGTGAGCAAGTGATATTGTTTTTTCTTTGGTGATTGATATTACTCAGACTAATTAATTAGAACTCATTTAAAAATACTAACTGATTGTTATATTAATTTGAATAACCATGAATTACACTTAAAAATCCATTAACTTAGAAAAACAAATTAAAAATAAATGGGTAAAGGTGTTCGTGGTAGTAGATCAACATATCCCGTCTTCCCAGCTGACAACAGAATCCTCGAGAGTAACTGAGGAACATCCAGTAGGTATTTTGACCATTAACAGCAGATACCAGCCATTACGTAACTTCCAATCACATCAGAATTTGGGGGGAGTAACTCGGCTACGATTTCAGGTGAGCTAAAGCTATGATCAAATGAGTTAAAGCTATAAAAGGAGGGAAAATATTAGTTAGCCGGAGGTGGTTGAGCCGTGAGGATATGGCAAAGCTAAGAAGAGATTAAGACAGCTGTTGGGGAACTTTAGCTGTATGTTTAACTGATTTTTAGCTTTGAGATCACAGTAAAGCTAAGAAGATACATACACCTAGAGGGGAGGTTGAAATTTAGCTGAGGTCACGGTAGAGCCAAGAAGATATCTAGACCAGGTTAAGACTTAGCTGTGAGTTGTCAACATTAACAGCAAAAAACGAGACCCAGCTACGATTTTAAATTATCTTTAGCTTGAAATCAGAGAAGTTAAAGCTAAGACTTGAGACAGTGAAAAATATAGTCATTTAGAGAATAATTAAGGTATATTTCCTCCTTATCATCATCATTGGTCCGTTAATAATTACACTGTTTCCATTTGAGTTTTATTCATACACAATTAATCACAAATTATTTATTCAAGTAATTAAAGAATCACTAATTATGTTAGATTAATATGAAAGTTAGGTTAGCTTAGTTTAGGTTATACTTAGGTTAATTTAGCATTAGGTTATGTTAATATAAAGGTTTGAATAGATTAGCTAAGGTTAGTTTTAACATTATAGTTGATAATATTAAGGTTGGATTAGTTTAGCATCAGGGTGGATAATCTTCAGGTGATCCACATATATTTACCTGGTAAGATGAGCTGTCACAGAGGAGAAGTCACAGAGGAGAATTATAACACCGGTACTGTTTCTATATCTCTCTATAATATCTACAGCGCCTCATCCTACAGGTGGCGGGGGAAGGAGGAGGAGGCATGATGTAATACCCCCCACACATCATCCCTCCGACTGCAATACTCCATTACTGTTAACGGGTTACCTGAAGAATAGACACCCTAGTTTATTTCACCTATAGATTAATTTGTTTTAACCCCAATGTACATCCACAGTAACATTTAAAAGTGCATATTTTAACATAAATAATCTCAGTATGGTACATTTTTTAACATTAACCCCAGTACAGATGCAATACATATTTTAGCAGACATAAACACTGTTCTTCCAAGTTAACATTAACCAGTGCATCATCATCAAGGTGTTACCATACATAACTGTCCAAGAATGTCTCCCCAGAATGGTGGTGGCACAAATAACATCGAGGTTGAGAACATTGGTCCGTCCCCTCATGATGGCCAGCAGCAGGAACCTATCGTCCAGTGCCCCGGAGGTTCTGCTGGAGGAGGTGGGGAACAAGGGCATCATCACACTCAACCGCCCTAAAGCCCTCAACTCTCTCAATATCAACATGATCCGTCTGATTTATCCTAAACTACAGGAGTGGGAAACTACCAAGTCTATGGTTATTATTAAAGGTGACTGGTTAATGTTTATTCATTTATCCTTTTCACCATTTATCACATTTTTAGCCATTTGGTTTGTTGGTCTTTGCTATGTTATGACCTTTATTGTCCAGTGTTAGTACAGGTGGAAACTCTAGTAGCTGCCTTAATCCTATGTTAATTTTTTTCCATTCTGTGCAGTCTCCTCAGTAAAACAATTTATGCCTCATCCTATATAATGTATTTGTTGATTTAGAATGTGGAATAATTAACCATTATACACCGAAATTTTCCAAAAAAAAATAGACCCCCCAAAATATATTGATTAGTGTGGTTGAGTATGATTGATATAGTAACCATTATTGTGGTTGTTGTAGGTGCTGGAGAAAAAGCCTTCTGTGCCGGAGGTGATGTGAGGTCCATCGTGGAGACAGTCAACGACCCAAACCCCGTCGGTGAATACTTCTTCAGAGAGGAGTACATTCTTAACTGTCTCATAGGAACGCTACACATACCTTACGTGGCTCTCATTGATGGTGAGTCGTGTGTTGTGAGGTGGATCACGCTGTAAGGAAGCAAAAACAGATCCAAATATGTGCGTATTTGTGGGCTTGTGACTTAAATGTGTGTATATTATTATCTTTTATCACGTGGGTTGGTTGTCGACGATGCCGGGATAAAAATAGATGGATAAATAGTAGATATATAAGATGTATAGATAGTTATGTTTAGTAGAATATATAGGGATGTTATTACTTATTATATAGATGAAGTAATTCTTTAAAAAAATACATCCATTCTAATAACAACTCCTGCAGGTATCACAATGGGTGGCGGCGTCGGGCTCTCAGTTCACGGCCAGTTCCGCGTGGCCACCGAACGCACGCTGTTCGCCATGCCAGAGACGGGTATCGGCCTTTTCCCTGACGTTGGCGGCTCGCATTTCCTACCTCGGCTGGGAGGACGACTGGGCATGTACCTGGCTCTCACAGGTGACGACTTTCTTACTGGGGTCACGCATTGATGTTTTTCCTAGAGTGATTGTGTGAATGTACTGTTCAATGATGTATTCAAGATCTTTCAATCAATCAATCAATCAATAAATATCTATCTGTCTGTCTTTCCACATAGGTCATCGTCTTAAAGGGCGTGAAGTGATGAAGGCGGGGTTGGCGACCCATGTGTGTGACAGTGCAAGAATAGGGGAGCTGGAGGAGTCCTTGTTGAAGATGGAGTCGAACTACCCGGAGGACGTGGCTGCCGTACTTGATACATTCAGTCAGGTGTTTATTTAATTATTTATGTCCTTACTTAGAACTGTCAACTGGTCACTGTGTAGCACCTGGGTCTCCATACTTAAATATTAAACTGATTCATTCCTCTGGTGTTAATTAATCTGTTATCTTTGTTGATTTTTTATGATTGCTAGTGTGTGTTACCTATGAGTCATTTGTTTATAATGCTTTTATTTTCTTTATATTACCTGCATTATCTATATACATGCTGAACTGTATACCTGTGTTGTCTATATACATACTGAGCTGTATACTGTACCTGCATTATCTATATACATGCTGAACTGTATACCTGTGTTGTCTATATACATACTGAGCTGTATACTGTACCTGCATTATCTATATACATGCTGAACTGTATACCTGTGTTGTCTATATACATGCTGAACCAATTGTAAACTTGTACAATTAATTTATTGAATATACATCTATTCATCTGTAAATTACAGGAGGCCACATTCAGCAAAAATGACCCATTCTCCCTCCAGTCTCACCTGCCAAAGATACAGTCATGCTTTTCTGGAGCCAGTGTGGAGGAGATCATCGCTAATCTGGAGAAGGTAACCTGACCTAACCTAACTTGACCTCTCTCAAATAGTGACATTAGTTGACATAATTGCCTTGAACATTTTGCCCCCGGTATCTGATCTATATTTTGTCAGCAGGAAGGGTCAGAATGGTCACAAAAGCAGCTAGCGATATTAGGCAAGATGTCCCCCACATCTCTCAAAGTCACCTTCGAGCAGATAGAGCGCGGGGCTAACCTCACCCTCCCTGAGTGTCTCTCTATGGAGTACCGCATCGTCAGCCACATATATAAAGGACACGACTTTGCGGAAGGTTAGTGAGGCTGATTTGCTTTTGTTTTTGTAAATGTTTTAAGGATTAGTTAAGTCAAATATTGAATTAATGTGACTTGACTTGTTTTTATAATGTTTAATATTAATTTTGTCAAATATTAAAGGTTAGTGTGGACTGATGTTATTGTTATGGAGGTTTTAAAGTTTAGGCACCCAAAAAGCTACTGAAGAATTATGTTCCTGAAAAATCATCTTTCACTCAAAATTCTTTAACTTGAAATTCTGCAACTGGAGTGAATGTTACATCAGCTGCTTCTAGCACTATATGTATGTATAATAAACACCCCAATACACTTTCCTCACACCAGGACCAGAGGTTATGTGTCAGACCTCTTAATGTGTTGATGTAAGTGACAAACTTAGCAGCTTCCACGTCCCTGCAGACCAGAGTGTTTCACCAAGCAGAAATAACAGAACACTCTCCTGGAAACACATGACTATATTTCCCATAAATAATTATATATGTGTAAATTTATATAGAGTAAAGTGTTTCCACAGATAAAAAGCAAAACATCGAACAAAGTCTTTAAAAAAAAAATTCCCAACACTTGAAAGAGTGTTAACAAGTACTTAGGTTATTATCCACAACAAAGGTAAAATAATAACTATCAGGTTATTAAAATGACGGAAACACGCTACCATGGGTGTAGTGGTACGTAGTCTGAAGCACTGACTTGTAAAACTGAAATTAAGTATTGTACAGTAATGATTTTTTATCCTCTGGTGTTGAGTAATGATGTAGTAGAGACCACAAATGAGATGAGAAACTCAGCTGCCTCCCCCAAGATAGTTTTAGGGTGGGTTAAACTTCAGGCTGGTTAAGCAGGGTGGGAAATGAAACTTAAGGTGAGCGCTTTGGGGAGGGAAAGAGTCTGTTTATACACTTGTCTCTGATGTGAGTGTATATTTATTGTATTTTTAAGCTATTATAGCCATGTTGACGTGTCATGGGTTATCCGTCAGGCATCCGGGCTCTGTTGATCGACCGCGACAACAACCCCAAGTGGCAACCAGCGTCTCTGTCTGACCTTAGTCGTGAACAAGTGGACGAGTACTTCTCTCCGATACCAGACAAGGAAGATCTTATATTATGAAGATGTTGTGTTGCTGTTGTGTGTGTATCATATTGTAACCATCTTGTGTTAATGTGAAGCTTGGTTTGTGTGACTACCATCTTAAATTAAGTTTAATTTTAACAACAAACATTAAACAATTGATGTAAAAATGTGTTAAATTTGGGTATGCGTAATCTAACCACTTTATGCTTTTGTAAAGCTTGGCCTGGCTTGTGTGACTGCCCTCTGGGTTAAGAAGATTAATTAGTCTTATAGCCAATCAACCACATATATTATAAATATTAAAACATTGATTTATAATATATTAAGTTTGTGTGCAATAATGAAAACTACTTAATATCTGGTGTGATTTGTGTGACTACCATCTTGTACATAAACTACAAAAAAAATTATCTCTACAAAATTGTGTTGAGAAAATATGACAATGGGCGAAGTATTTTGACAACCTTACTGAGACAACAGGAGTCATAGTGTTCCTTCTGAAATTCATCGATCACCCTAAATACAGATACAGTTTATTGAGTTACTGTACAGGAACTAAACTAAGAATATGGTTGTATGTCACTACGATATTAACATAGGTGTGTGTGTGTATGTACAGTATTTTAACCAGTTTGTTGCTGCTGGCAAACTCAACCTAATTTTGGGGGATCACCTTATAGATATAATAATACAGTACTGTAACATAAAGTTTAGTAAAGCTTACATCTCTTACTTTTGTGTTCATCTATTGTTATAAGCTTGACTGTTGTATGAGTTATTAATTCTAAAGCTTAATCAGTGTCATTTTTGCAACATATTGTGGCTAATGAATGTACTATCTTTTTGCATTGTGTTTTTTTAACATGATTTTAGGTTTTGATTCATATATAGATAATATGAATGGATAGATAGAAAGACAGATTGATGGATAGTTAGGAAAAGAGAGAGAGAGAGAGGGATGGATAGATAGATAGATAGATAGATAGTGTGTATGTATTTGTTGTGTTAGGTCATAAGAATAGTGACTTGGGTTTAAAATAATTTATGTTTTGATATTGTAAGTTTGTGTGACAAGGATACTGTCTTAGAGAGCCTAAGTATTGTAAGTGGTTGTAAATGTGTACATGTAGTGTTATGTGAGAGGGATAGCACCATTGATCGTTAAAGTAACCAGGTGTTGATTATTACAGGTGTGCGTGCGGTGTTGATTGACAAGGACCACAAAACGTCGTGGAAACCGGCCACCCTGGCAGACGTACCCACGGATGAGGTCATCAAGAAACATTTTGACCCCCTCGAGCCTCAAAAGGAACTTACGTTATAGTGTTAACTTCCTTGATACTCACCCTTCAAGCTGCCTACCATCAACCACCTCCCCCCACCCCCCCCCCAATACTGCCTCCATTAAAACTCCATACTGTCTTCATTAATACCCCTATGCCACCTCAATCAACACACCCTCACACCACCCACCAATAACACCCCGACATTCTCGATGGTTGATTAAATTATGTGAGAAAACTCTGCTGTTTCTTCCACTCTCTCTCTCTCTCTTTCTCTTCCTTCCACTTCCCTCTTCTCTTTCTTATTCTCTCTCTTCATCTCCCAGTTTCTTTTGGGCTCTCTACTATAACACTTACTCTCACAGTATATCTATAGATGTCTTAAGTCAAACAGATCTATGGTTTCACCCTTACACCCAGAATTAATTTACCACACGACCCCCACCTGTACCAGCAGTGTTGTGGAGACCTATCAGAAGACCTAGCTCACCAATCTACCATAACCAACTCTCTATTGTACTAATTTTATTTATATATTTTTTTACAAGCAGCAGAATGTAAATTTGTCATTTTTATTTTGTTATTATTGATTTATTTAATTATTTTATTATTTGTACAAGAGTTTGGTGGAAATTAGTTTGTTGTTTTTAGAGAGAAGACATTTGGTGTTTGTAAACAGTTTTGTTTGTAGATTTAAATTCATTAAACATTGTGTCATAAAATTCTACCTTCAATTTATTGATTGTAAAATAATAAATATTCTGCTTCTTTATACTATTATTTAATTTTAGCGGTCAAAGTTAGTTTACGTAATTTGACAAAGTAAACATAGAGTGTCTGTCTAGGGAATAGAATATAATGTATTATGAAATATGTCACAAAATTAACATCGGTTTATGAAATGTAAATACGCATTTGTGATTGTTTTATAATGAAACATAAATTGAACTGTTAATTTTTTAATTTTTGTCATCATTTAACCTTGCCTCCCACCGACCTAACCTTACCATTGCCGATTTTCTTAAGAGTTCTGTGTATCTCGTAGCCAACCCATATAATAATACCTAGAAACACAGTTGATTTGTGAAGATATTTCCACTTTTTTTTTCTCATCTACATTTTTCCGTGCATAATTCTCCCTGACCATTTTCTTTAACGTTTGTTTACTCCTTGGTTCACCCCATATACAGTAGTGGGAGCGACATACGGGACAATAATAAGGGGAGTGTGTCTGGATATTTCTACAAGTTGTTTTAGATTTTCGTTATCATTGTTCATATTTTTTTGTGAATTCTCTCCTCCCATTACTACATTATCTTTGAGTTCTCTATACCTCTATGGTCCACCTTGTATAAGGATATTGGATAATTGAGATAGAAATTGAATATATAGCAAACAAGAATCATTATTAGTAACAACACTTATATACAGTATTTGAATGAGATGAGGTTGTGTGTGTAGATGTTAATAGTGTGTAAGTGTATGGCTGTTAATAGTGTGTGTGTTTATAGGACATATTATTATTGTGTGTGTGCATGTGTGTTTATAGGAAATGTTAATAGTCTGTGTGTGTTTAGAAATTGTATATCCTGTAGTGTGTGTGTCAGAGGCAGATCCAGAGGTGTAATTGCAAGGGGCACCTTCTGTACTACACCCGACTGTGAGTGCAATACTGTATAAAGCTCCCAGACTAACTAAAGTATGTACTAATATGCGCCACTTCCAACGAAACTCAAGAAAAAGTATAATGTATTAACAAATGTTAGTTTTATCTAAAATCCATGTATGTTTGTTTCATCCAATCAACATGAAGATATTATAAGCTTGACTAGTTTTATTATTCTTACAAATACCTGTATGAGTATGAGTATTAATTATATAAAAAGGTGAAACACTTCAAAAATGCAAAAATGGAGAGAAGGTAATAGAAGAATCCACGAGCTTCTGAATAATAAAAGAGTTGAATAATACTGACTATGAAATGTAAGTCGATAAACATATTTAGGAGTAAAATATTTCTGGGTTGACACCTTGAAAAATCTTGCATGATTTCAACAACTGATTTGAATTTATCTGTGGACATGCATGAGGGACTAATGCAATCATGTGATCTTAGTGCATGTTCGAACACAACCTATTGGGCTTTCGTTGTTGATCTTTTTATGGAATATTGAAATGTTCAGTGGATTTGGCATCCCACGTACCGCTGGCAAGTCCGTGGGCTCGTAACACTTTTCTTGCCCGTGGTGCCCACCGTTTCTCTGTGGATGTCAGTCACACTAGAATAACCTGTTATAGTACATCCTTCTTCCCTCACACAGTCAAACTGTGGAATGGTCTGCCTTCTGTGTTTCCATACTCATGTACTGCGCACATCATTGTCATTCCTAAAAACCCACTTTAATTCATATTACTGTACGCTACATAACATTCAAATCCACCGCGCTTGTAGAATCTCAGGAGAGACGTGTTTTCCCCATCCGTTTTACACTCGGGATCACTCCCAGTAAGTCACGCCTTCGAACACAGTTGTCACTATGTTTATTCCACTCTACTGGCAAATGCAATCTTGAATTAGTCTGTGTAAATCAACTTGAGTAATTTCACCAGACCTTTGTCAACTGAGGGTCATCCTTGAATGAGTAACAGTTAGATTGTGTGTAATTTCTGTCATTGCGTGAGTAGCGATCGCTGGCAACTCAGGGGTATATAAACCAGTGCGAGCGGGAGGAACAAACTCCCGTATCACCTTTCACCTTCATTCTCAGGTATGTTCTGTGTTTATAAGCATTCAGTTTGATTCGGTCTATTGTAGTGAATATCAGTGTTCATCAGTGTTCATGCTTTAACAGTGGAATTGTCATTCACCCAGTGTAAAAAGTAATATAACGTAAATATCTGACGTGGCGAGACTGAAGATTTGCTTGTGACCCACCATGCTTCCCCAAAAAACCTCCCGCATCACCTTTCACCTTCATTCCCAGATCGAGGGTGGGCTTAATTGAAACCCACCGGTCGCTCGGAGCCGGTGGATACCCAGCAGTGGTCATTATAGGAGTGATGGCGCTGATTCGGCATGATTAATCGGCTCTATTCTACCTCGTGGGCCGAGGACTCCAGACCCACCTCGTGTCGGAGTGTAACCAACCACAACAGCAGTTGTTAGAGGCGCCAGTGCTATACCCTGGGACAGGCCTTGGAGTTATGGTCCACAGTGTGGTCGTAGGTGTCTTAATAATCACCCCATGTTGGGTAGTGGACCCATGTCGGTGTTTGTATCAGTATTAGTGTATTGTGAGTAAGGACAAGGAACTGGTCCTGCTATGTAATGTAATGTGACACCAGTAAGAGTGTGCACGGTAAGAGTGTAATATCTGAGTAATTGCTGTTGAGTAAATAAGAAATACGGAGTCTGCAAAAAGCCCAGGAGTTGAGCCTGGTAGTTTGATTTTATATTAATAAACTTGTTCTTTGAGTATTTTAGGAGTATTCATTTCTCCCACAGTAGTTACCTTTATTTCCGTCCAAGTGACCCTGATATCAGAATTACACTACCCATGTGCCTAGACCACCGACATGCTACCAAAATGAACTGAAGTAAGTAGAAAGAATAATTGAAAGAACTAAGACATGTTGTGGTTTCACCCTTCTTTCCCCTTATCGGGTGTAAGTTACTTGCGGTAACTTACGGAGTTCGATGTCAAATATTGGTTTTGAGTATGCCAATCTGAGACTGTGAGTCCGGTTACGGGTACACAACGACATACAGTCCCATAAATTTTTTTGAGTATCCGGCCCCTGGTCAATGAAAAACCTAACCCAATGCCTAGTCCACTCTGCCCGCTACCTAATGAGTTACATACTGTCCAGAGGGGGTCTGGTGGCAGCGACCCTTAGAAATTAAGATTAGAGTTTAGTATTTCCCCTTAGAATTAGTGACCCCAGGCTGGCAGTATACTAATACAATCTGTCTCACTTTAAAAAGCTGGTTTTCCGGCATCTTCGTGGCATAGATTAATATAACCTTTTCTATTTTTAATTTCTTTTATTCGTATTATTTCGCCCCCTAGGCCCCGATGTGCCCGGGTGGACTATTCCCTGCAAAAAAAAAATAGAATGAGGAGAATGTTAAAAATAGGTTACATTGAGAGGAAAAAAGTGAAGAGGTGCTAAAATTGGCAAAGACTTCAAGAAAATTCTTTTAAATTTACAGAATATGGAAGGAGCCAAGACTATTGAACACTAACTATTATCCCACCCCTTCTCCCCCTCCCAATCCCACCCCTACCCCTCCACTTACCCCTCTACCCCACCCCCATTCCCTCTCTACCTTTCTACCTCCACCCTTACCCCTCTACTCCACCCCCCACTCCCTTCTACCTCTACCCCTCCAGCCACTTCCCCTTTACCCCCACCTTCCCTCTACTCCTACTCCTCCACCCACTCCCCCTCCCCTTTACCCCTAGCCCTCTACCCTTCCCCCCCTCTATCCACTAAAACCTGCTTTGTACAGTACCACCTCCTCTCACACACACCACTCCTGGCAACACTCAGCTCGACCTTGTGTTTGTCAGCCTACAGGTCTTATACAAACACCACCACAGCCTTAACTAAATGCAGTGTCACATCTCATCTACCGAGTCCTTGGTTGAGATATTACAACAAAGGGATCATAAACACCTCCACTTATACCTCATTGAATGAGCACACACACGCACACGGGCACGTACACTCTCGGACAATAGGATCATAAATCAACAAGTTATATAAAGTGAAAATAAGAAGTAATTGGGCGTGTGATCCTCGGTGTGAGAGAGAGAGAGATTATCATAAACAGTATCTAACGAGTCAGACAAGTATCCTAGCAGCTTCTCGACTGGCCAGATCTCCGCCACCAGTTTGCTGGGTGTGGCGTCAACAGTGATCCAACACCTCACATGTTCTGGCCTTGAGTGACCCCTTTTGCCAGGTTAATCTCGACCTTAATCATCCCATCCATACAGCTCTAAAGGCCCTGTTTCAACCTGAGCTTCAACAGCATCATTATATGGTACTAGAATATAATAATTCAGACGGAGATATTTAAGTTGTTTTTATGATTCAGCGTTATGGAAGGCACGAGGCAGCATTTTCTTCTATGATTTAGATGCATTTCACACACACACACACACACAGTATATCAGGAGTGGTCACCGCTTGCCATTCACCGCCTCAGGAAAGATGTCAAACTCCCTTCCCTATCTGTCACTTCCTCCACCACTACTACAACTACTTCCCTCCCCTGTCCGCTACTTCCACCACAACTACTACTTCCCATCACTATCCGCCACTTCCACCACAACTACTACTTCCCTTCACTGTCTACCACTTCTTTGCTACTTCCACCACCTTGGTCTTGGCATCAGGTTGACCTTGTTCAGTGAATGATGATGGCGACTCTCTCTGCCTCCCACACGTGTTGTTGTACCTAACCTAATCAAACCACCACGATTATTTCTTTGAGAGTTAAAATAAACCACTTGTCTATTTATGATTATAATTGATATAGTTTTTTTTTCTGAGGGAGGGAAGAGGGGGGGGGGAGTAGGGGGGTAGGGGGGTAGCGGATTCAAAAGTGTGTGTGTGTGTGTTTGTGTGTGTGTGTATTTGTGGCTGGCTGGCTGACAACATGTTCAGTCGTGGCCACCTCCTACACCTCACAGGATCACTACCATCTTGTCCTAGTTCCATCCTTCTGGTATCCTTCAGCGAGGCAGGCGTTGAAGGAGGATTGATTACTCTGTTATTGAAGGATAGTGTGGTGCTGATGTGACGTGTAGTTTAAGGCTCTTGTGGAAATCAGTGAAGGCAAAAGGGGCATTTTCTACGATACAAAAATGACAAACTTCTCAACGATACAAGACGCTAAAATTCCCTCTACGATACAAGGCCAGCTAAGACTCTACAAGGCCAGCTAAGACTCTACAAGGCCAGGTAGGACTCTACAAGGCCAGCTAGAACTCTACAAGGCCAGCTAAGACTCTACAAGGCCAGCTAAGACTCTACAAGACCAGCTAAGAATCTCTACAAGGCTAGCTAGGACTCTTCAAGGCCAGCTAAGACTCTACAAGACCAGCTAAGACTCTACAAGGCCAGCTAAGAATCTCTACAAGACGCACATCAGCAGGAAAGATTGTCATATCAGTAACTCCTCAATGGTTATAGCCAAGTCCCCTGATGTAAGAAAAAGGTGTTGAGTACTTGTGTTGGCTCGAGTACTAGTGTTGCTCTAAGTACTAGTGTTACCCCGAGTACTAGTGTTGCCCCGAGTACCAGTATTGCTCCGAGTACTAGTGTTGCCCCGAGTACTAGTGTTGCCCCGAGTACTAGTGTTGCCCCGAGTACCAGTATTGCTCCGAGTACTAGTGTTGCCCCGAGTACTAGTGTTGCCCCGAGTACTAGTGTTGCCCCGAGTGTCTGTGTTGCCCTTAGTACTCGCTCCTATTACCTGTGTGACCCAGTATAGGTGTTGTGAATGAGCAGAATATCAAAGAGTGTTGAGTGTTGGCGAGGAGAGGCTGAGAGAGAGAGAGAGAGAGAGAGAGAGAGAGAGAGGACGTGTGTACTACTAGCACCACAACAGATATACAACATGGCGGAGGAGACACCAGAAGTAGTTGGACTGAGAGAAAAAGGTAAATAATATGATCTTTTTCGTCTACTTATCAATTTATTTACTCTATTCCATCTATTTATCAATCTATTTACTCTATTCCATCTATTTATTAATCTATTTACTCTATTCTATCTATTTATCAATCTATTTACTCTATTCCATATATTTATTAATCTATTTACTCTATTCTATCTATTTATCAATCCATTTACTCTATGCCATCTATTTATCAGTATTTACGCTTTTATTCAGTCTTCCATAGTATACAGGGTGTTCGTAAAGTAATTGACCCATTTTAAATCTTAATACTCACAAAAACTTGAACACGATGCTAAAGTTTAATCAAAAAGACTTGAAAAAAGTATAAATTGTTCCTTAAGTATTATTAAATCGAAGTCCGTTTTTTTATATATAAGGTTTAAAGTTTGTGATCTTTAAAATGGGTCAAATAATTTATGGAGACGGTGTATGTTGTTTACCTTTTAACCAGTTGGTATTATAAGTTCGTAGTGTCTTAAAAAGTTGTATTACTGAGCAAATGCACATTGTTTACATGGCTTAAAATTCCTACTTATCATTACTCCTAAATCTTTCTCACAGTCGGATTTCTCTATAACATCGTTGTTCATCTGGTATCTGGTTTCTTTGTTTACATCTCCTAGATTAAGTACTTTACATTTGTCTACATTAAATTTCTTCTGCCATTTTCAGACCATTCGAAAATTTTTTTTTACATCTTCCTGTAGTTTTGCTACAACATTCGTTGAAAATCTTAAACAATAATATGCAATGTGACATTTTTAATTTTGAAATTCATTTATGTACGACTTTTCACTAACATACGGTAGAATGTTTTAGTTAAATGGTAATAAATGTTTTATGTTATGACGTCGATAAAACTCTAAGTACGTTTCATCCTAGTCTGATGATTACTTTTACTTTTATCCTCTTCGCCACTGATCGGCTCGTTAGCCGCTTGGGCGATCGGTCACGTCTCTGTCACCCACTGTTGACAAATACTGGGCATGCACCGGCTCCTGAATGTACCTGAACCTGCTCCAGTGTTGGTCAAGTCTTGTCTTGAAAGAGCTCACACTCGGTACCGTCACAACACTTTCTGGTAGATTGTTCCAAGAGTTTACAACCCTCACTCCGAAAAAGTTTGTCCTCACAGTTTTCTGAACTTGCGGCTTCTTCAATCTTGAGCTGTGACCCCTTGTGGGGCGAGCGTACGCCAGCTCCAAGTAAGGACACTCAACTGAGTAGTGCCCCCTGAGATGCTTATACACCTCAACCAGGTCCCCCCTTGCTCGTCTGTAGCATAAGCAAGGCAAGTTCAGGCGCTCCAATCTCTCAGGGTAGCTGAGGTGCCGAAGTGCAGTTGCCTTTTTTCTGTGCCATTTTTTCCAACATTCATATTTTCAGCCTTCAGGCTGCCATGTTATCTTAATAAACCATTTATTATTATTATTATTATTATTATTATTATTATTATTATTATTATTATTACACACACGGGGCATTATACCTCAACATACACAGGAATCGAAACGTTACTTAAACGTGTCCACCAGTGGTTCAGGTGATGGCCAAACACAGGTGAGATTACATAAGAAGCGCCCAGGTGTCTGTCTATCCCATGTGGTGGTCAAATGGGTAAAAAACAATGCATATATTGGATGAACTCTAATGGATAAAGTCTTGTATTATTAGATGTTATATTGGATAAATTTAAAATGGTACTTTGAATAAATACTAATGATTAAATAATGGACAAACTTTTATAATATTTAAATGGTTATGGCGGATAGAGACTAGTGGTTAAATAACAGACAAAATACTTATTTAAATGGTCGCATAAAACTTTTCTTAAGCCATCGTCCTCAAAGGGTTAAACCATAAAGAAATTTCGTCTACACTCTGGCCCTCTGGTGGAATTGACTTAAAACTCCAATGACGTCACTCATCTACCCTTACACCTGTTTAACATAATTGATCAACATAACAAAAAAATAAAAAATAAATAATTTACCTCCCTCCCTCCCTCCCTCCCTCCCACCCTCCCTCCCACCTCCTCCTCCCTCCTCCTCCTCCTCCTCCTCCCTCCCCCTCCTCTCTCTCCTACCTCCCTCCTCATCTCCCCTTCCTCCCTCCCTCTTGGTGGCGCCACAATCCATATGCTACTAATCTGCCAAATAAAAACACCATCACGATAAGAAAGACTCTCCACACTTCACTTTTCTTTCGTTACTCTTCAAATAACTACGAAAATGAAGTCAAGTTCGTTATATGTTGTTTATATAACGAAAAACGTCAATATATTCAGCCTTTAATATTCTGTTGATACTAAATTATTCGAAAGAGTGCTGGGCAGAAGGGGGGAGAGAGAGGGGGAAGGGGAGGAAGAAAGGTAAGATGGGGTAAGGGAGAAGGATAAGGGGTAGAAGGAAGGGGAGGGAAAAGGAAGGGAGAAGGAGAGGGGAAAGGAAGAAGGAGGGGGACAAGGAAGGGAGGGAGAGGAATGGAGAAGGGAGTTGAGAGGGGGAGGGTGGAACTATCAACACCAAGCCTTCTTATAGGTGAGGTTCAACTTTAGACCCGGTTTATACCCAGAGACAGTGAACACCAGAGGCTTACTAATCAACCAGGACACAATTGTTGCCTTTAAGCTTAGCTCCTAATCTTAACAAGCTCCAATCACCAAGTCTGCAGATCTATTTGTGGCTTGGTTAAGTTATGCTTCATTACTAACAGGTTCTAGTCCCTTAACTTTACCCGCCAAGGTTGTACAGATCAAGAATATTTGTCGGTCACACACACACACACACACACACACACACACACACACACACACACACACACACACACACACTTAACTCCCTTCACACACACACACACACACACACACACACACACACACACACACACACACACACATTTAACTCCTTCACACACACACACACACACACACACACACACACACACTTAACTCCTTCACACACACACACACACACACACACACACACACACACACACACACACACACACACACTTAACTCCTTCACCATTATATTTTCAACTGTTTTAAATAACATTCCTTCCTGACAGAGGCTGACGTAGGGATGGACACGTCGGATGAACCAAAAACAGAGAGGCGGAGTCGACTACTAAGACAGGTAAACGAAACTAGTGACTTAATTACCATAGTACACCTGAGGAGCTTCATACGAGACTTTTCCCGCCTTGTGTACTTGTTAAGGTTCATTTTAGTGTTTGATGTATTATTTCATCTTGGAATATCTATCTCCTTTCCTATCTCCCTCCTCCCTCTCTCACCCACTCCCTTCCTCTCTCATATACCCACCCTATCAACACCTCCTCCCCTTCTCTCCTTGCCCCCTTTCCTCCCACCTACCCTCCTTCCCAAACATCCCCTTTTCCCTCTCTCCTACCATCACTCCCAGCACCCCATTTCCCTCTCTTCTTCCCTCCCCCCCTTCTCTCTTACCCTCTCACTCACTCCCTGCCCCTCTTACTACCACAGACTGGCCTGGTGATGATCGTTACACTCTGTTACTTCTCACTGGGCGCCGCGTTACCTTGGCCCTCCCCGGCACTCTCCAGTCTGGCCGAGAATAATGCCACATTGTTTGGTGTTCAGATCTCCCTCAACTCGGCCGAGAAGGACATGACTGGTGAGTTTTTGTCACGAGTTATATACATCACAAAATAACGTGAAAATTTAATAATAACAGCACAAAATAACCACAAACACAACACAAAAAATACAACCCAACACAACACAACACAATAATAACGCAACATAATCACAATCCAAACACACACACACAGGTTGACTTTCAAAATAAATACCACGTATGAGCAAACATTATTATTTATTATTCTACCTGTGCCCCCCCCTCCCCTCAGGTGGTTTAGTGTACACGTGTCTCTCTCCCAGGTAGCTTGATGTACCTGGGGACGCTGGTCGGGGCTTGGGTATCTGGGTGGCTGGTGGCCAAGGTGGGGCGCCGGCTGTCGCTGCAGATATCGGTGGTGCCGTTTTTAGGAGGATGGTTGATCGTGGCCCTCACCCCTAGCACACCTGTACTCCTTATTGGCAGGTAAGTCGGTACACACACACACACACACACACACACACACACACACACAGAGCCCAGTCCCAACCATTGTAAAAATTATCAATAACTTGTAATATACCAGTGTATTCACTTCCAGTAAATACTACTTCTTGCACTGTCACTATGTTGAAATGCACTGTAGTTTGAGCTTTTCCTGATTTATATTAATCTGTATTTTGCTATTATTTAAATTGAAACCTATTCTGCAACATGTAACTGTATATTTCAGCCTCATGTTTTTTCTGTCAAAACCGTTAATTATTACATATTAATATACATATATACATACATTATTATTATTATTATTATTATTATTATTATTATAACATTATTATTATACCACACAATAATAATAACAATAATAATACAGCTTGTCATCATTATCATTACATTGTCATCATCATTGGTCATTGTCATCATGATTCAGAATGTATTAATGCTATGTGTCCCAACGTTAAGTAGCTTCACATCACCTAACCTCTCCTACGTTATGTTACAAGTTATCAAGAGTATCAGTCTCGGAGGAACAGTTTGTTGTGACACCTTGAGGAGCTCTGGTGACGTGGTCGCTGTCGTCTCTTGCAGGTTCATCATCGGCATAGCATGTGGCGCCTGCACCATCGCTGGGTATGCCTACGTCATCGAGCTGTCTGATATGAGCATCCGGGGCATGATGGCCACCCTGCCCACCATGGGAGTAGTGTTGGGCGGCCTCTACACCGTGTCCCTGGGGTACGCCCTCCCCTGGCACTACCTTAGCCTGGTGTGTGCGGTGCCTCCACTTCTGTTCTTCTTTGCTTCCTTTCTCCTGCCGGTGTCCCCGTCCTTCCTGGTGGTACAAGGCCGCCGTCAGCAGGCCATCATCATCTTGAGAAGCCTCCGGGGAAACTACGCTGATGTTGAGGGGGAAGTGGCGGAGCTGGAGCGTCGCAACGCCGGCACCACCGACGGGAAGAACTCAGGGTGGCGCGCCCTGCTGGAGAGAGATGTGATGCGACGGATAGCGGTGGTGACGATGCTCTTCTTCCTGATGCAGATGTGCGGCAACTTCGTCTTCATGATCTACACGGCGCGGATCCTGGAGGCCACGGGGGCCCCAATGGACCCTGACGCCATTACGGCCATAGCGGGGGCCCTCAGAGTCGCGGGGACACTGGCCGCTATCTTCCTGCTGGACATCGTGGGGCGCCGTTACCTGCTGGTCATCACCCACGCCAGCAACGCCACCTGCCTCATCATCCTGGGCGTGTACGTGTACTTGGCAGAGCGCGCCGCCCCAGACGACCCTATCTTCCAACAGTAAGTAAGAGAGAGAGAGAGAGAGAGAGAGAGAGAGAGAGAGAGAGAGAGGAGAGAGAGAGAGAGAGAGAGAGAGAGAGAGAGAGAGAGAGAGAGAGAGAGAGAGAGAGAGAGAGACTAACACTATGCAGTCCTCCTCCACAGATTATCAAAAATGACAGTACATAATAAATGTTGTTCATTGGGGACATCGGCATCCACCCAGTCCCTTACATCGTCTCCTCCGAGTACTTCCCTACCAGCATCCGCCCTCAGGTGAGTCAGACAGGTGGAGAGAGAGAGAGAGAGAGAGAGAGAGAGAGAGATCCAGCACTAAAAACAACCAGTATCATCCATCTCTTAAACAACCACTATATCCACCATCTACCACCGCCATTAGGAATAAATAACCACCATCCAGCATGTCACCCAACCAAGTAACCAACCACTATCCCCACCCAGCCACCACAACCACCACCAGTCATCCCTCATCACCTTCCACCATACCAGCAACCACTACCATCCCTAACTACCAACCAACCATAAACCACCACTAAACCACCACTTTCCCTACCACAGGCTTCCTCCGTGTGTATCTCAGCGGGCACAGTCATCACTTTTGCGACGCTTCAGTTATACAGTCCCATGCAGGCGACCCTCACCCAGGCTGGTCTCTACTTCTTCTACGGCGCCGTCAGCTTCGTCGGGGTGATCTTCTCCTTCTTCGCCGTTATAGAAACCAAGGGCAAGAATGTAGGGTGAATGGGCAAGTGTGTAAGAAGAAGGGCAAGGGTGAGGGGACAAGGGTAAGAAGAAGGGCAAGAGTAGGGTGTAGGGATAAGGGTGAGAGGAAGAGCAAATGTCAATACACTCCTCCTCCTCCTTCGCCTCCTCCTCCTCCTACTCGTCTTCCATATTACCACCCCTACACCTCTATTAAACACCCCTCCCCCTCCTAAACTCACACTAGCGAGATTAACATTGAATCCGTCGGTTAATCCCCCAATTAACCGGGTTGTTCACATAAATAATTATTGGGGTTTTAGTAACGAGACCCAATTGAAGTTCCTTTGTTTTATTATAAAAGGATTATGTCTATAATTCCTGAGTGTAGATCAACCGTAAGTTCCACTGTATATGAGTGAACGAGAAAGAAGGACGGTGTTTATGTAAATATAAACGTAGCTCACGTCCGTTCGATAGTAGTTGATCTGAGTGACTAAGCAAGGGGCGTCGCTAATGCGCACTTACAAAGTTGCTGACATATGGGCTTGTCCCTCTTGGGAAAGCTACCGTTCACGTGTACAACTCATGTCTTACTCATACACAGTGGAAAGTTACAGGGGGTGAAATCTGAATATAATATCAGATGTATTGACCCATTTATATAATATGTTCTGTTGATGAGACAGGGGCCCGTTACAACATCACTTATCAGGCTAACATACCCCATCCCACGTGTAAGAGAATAACAGAAAACGTACACATTACTCGAGAGGAAACGAATAAAACGAAAATTCATTTGTGGGTAACTTACAAAAAAAGAATATACGACAAAAACAGCAAATTCCACTTTAAACCTCAAGTTATCAGTCACAGGTATTCCTATAATGGCCGGATATATCAGCTACCTAAACAAAGCTACTGGAGAAAGAAAAAACTCTTGTGGTTGTAATGTTAATGAGTGTATGGATATTGTAACGTGATTGTATTGTTGTAATTAAGACTCTTATTGTCCATTGTATTTTATAGTATTTTTTTTTCTAATGGTGATAGGAAGAGATACTTCAGCGTGTGTGTTTATAAAGTCTTTGTTCATTTTTAATCTTTAATAATGGTGGTACAGCGGTAATGCACATAACTCTCACCAATATGTCAAGGGTTCGAGCCTCGGCTCGGACACACGTGAGAAGGGTGTTATCTAGTGTGACCCTACCAACTACAGGTTTCCCGGCCCCCGGTTTCCTCCTGTAATAACACTGGATAAACGGCCCAAACGGCTAGTAAGCTGATAAGTGGCGAATATGAAAAAAAAATGGTTGTAAATGTGATTACTGCAAATTTTTAAAACTACATTACAAAGGTTCTTTTTATTGTTGCTGATATTTATATTCCCTAGCTCTGTTGATGTTCCTTGGCACTGTTGCTGTCACCCCTCCCTCACAATTCCGTCACAACTCCCTCACCTCTCCCTCACAACTTCCTCACATCTCCCTCCATTAAACAAAATTTTTATGAGGCCGTGTAACAAGTATTCTAAGGACGACACACACTTTGTATAATTTTTAGATTTTTTTGATTTACAATATAATTATTTCTTAGGACCTATTTATCATGTAATCCTAAACTGTTTTTATCTTATATCAAGAGTTGAAGAATCACACATTTCTCAGACCATTCCCTGAAGCATAAGCAAATAGATAAAATACTGGAAAGGACTATACAATGAAAACTTAAAGAAAAAACGAATAATAAACAATAATTGTGGTAATAAAAGCCCCGATGTAAGGCCCCCTCGTCACTGGTAAATATTTACAAAGACCGGATTCATAAATTTATTAGTTAAAGTGAGAAGACAACACGCGGAGAATATTTACGATAAAACATTTATTTCTTCGCCAAAAAATCATGGACAGGCCTGAAATTACTGTCATATGATCATTTTTTTGTTGTGTTTTACCCCGTAGTTTCATTCAGCTTTCATGCCCTGCCCAGTACAGGTGATTTATGATCGTAGAGAGAGAAAAAGACGTAAAAAGGGTTATCTTGTTGATATTACTTATTACCCTCCAAACAACGCCTGTGAGAAATATGAACGAGTTCTATAAAGTCCTTCGGGTGCTAACTGCCTGTTCCACTATTAACTAAGAATATTTATCTCTTCCCTCAACTTATAAAACTTAATTATTTGTAAATATTGTAAAGTCAGCCTGTGGGGGTGTGGGGGTAGATGGAGGGAGGCGGTATTTTGCCCGAAGGGGGTCAATAATAGTTTAGCTGAAGTCTTCTAAAAGCTAAACCATTTAAACATACAAGTACAGGGTCCTCACACTAATACCCTGGCTCAGAACGACAAAGTGGATATGTTAACGAGAACAAATTACAATTATGAAAAGCAAAATTATCAAATCAAGTTTCTGACGCGTTTCCTCTATTAAAGATTTCCTCACAACACTGTTATAAAAGCTAACAATGAACTATTTATTAAACACCGGAATATTTTACAGAAAGTTTTTTTTTATGTCAAGGAGGTATAGAGATATCTTAAACCTTGAACAGAGAGAAAAATTTATACGGTGTTGCTAATGTTGTTGATAACTTACGAACAAAAACATTTGGCTGGATGTTAAAAAGTAGTCCTACATCCTGTCAGCCAAGGTTATCAATATTCTTCTACACTTCACAACGTCATGTGATAAACGGGTTTGTTGATGTCCTGATGACCACGTACAACTCTCAAACGATAATGAAAACAGCGAGATGACATAATTAACTGCGATTTTGTAGACTTTGTATAGAAAAACCCACACGTCACATTAACAATTAGTTTAAAAATTTTAGCAATTTAATTTATTTTCATATTAGTTAGAATATTAAAAACAAGTTAAGAGAATGTTGATATTGTTGTTAACACTTACAGGAATTATTATAATGTGAAGGGGGCGGAGTTAGGGACAACGGTGCTATCAAAAGTTCACGTAAACACTGACTGATATAAAACACTGAAAAACCTATAAAAAAAAGTGTCTCTGAAATGTACAGCCGGAAGACCTTTAATTAAATCCCTAATTCAGTTAAGCATTTTTTAACCATTGTCTTTAGTATCAACTTTTTATGAGGGTAAAAGAAACGAAATAGAAAAAGAGAGAGAGAGAGAGAGACTGACGGGAGGAAAAATCTAACTACGCGATGACATTTGAGAAAGTCTGTGAAGGTTATGAAAAACAACGAGGCATATTATAAGTGTTAAGAATTACCATCGTCACTTAACCCTTTGAGGACGATGATTTAACCTTGTAATGACGATGATTTAATCCTCTAAGGAAGATGATTTAGCCCGTTTAGGACAATGATTTAACCCAAGTCCAAAACCTTTCTTAAATGAGATCATGAGAGAGAGAGAGAGAGTGTGTAAAAACAGTACCGGTCGTCGGGTCACCTGCCCTAGTGATTGACAGGTGTGTTGATTGACAGTGTCCTCTCCCTTCCCCTCCTCCCTCACCTCACCTTCTCCCCCCGCCCGCCCAGGTGTGTCATTGGCGACCAGGGTGGGCCGGAAGTGCATGAGGACACCACCGCCTCCCCCCCACCCACTCACCGCCTCCCCCACACAACTCTTAAGACAGAAAATAATCCACCTTACATGTTTCTACTAAATCTTAAGGTGAGTTTGAGCTGACGCATGTACCCAGGTATCAAGATAAGGTCAGGTGAATAAGATTGACATTACATGACACCTCCCTGACACCTCCCTGATACTACATGACACCTCCCTGACACCTCCCTGATACTACATTACACCTCCCTGACACCTCCCTGATACTACGTTACACCTACCTGGCTTATAAGAAGAAGTAATGTAAACACGGAAGGAATGGGAATGATAACAGCCTCGGGAAAAATACTGTTTGATTTACTGTGTCTTGATCTCTGTTGTCTGGTCCTGTTAACGGGATAATTTAAAGGGGAAGTATTAGGGAAAAGTAATGTTTTTATTGTAGGAAAATAATACAAAATAATAACACACACACACACACACACACACACACACACACACACACACACACACACACACGCACGCACGCACGCACGCACGCACACACACACACACACACACACACACACACACCCACACCCACACACACACACACACACACAGAAAATTCGAAAATCAAGAATTCATCTGGTGACTGTCTGCGGCGATTGAGGTGTGTGGGGGTGTGTGGTGGTGTGTGGGTGTGTGTGAGGGTGTGTGGAGGTGTGTGGGTGTGTGTGAGGGTGTGTGGAGGTGTGTGGGTGTGTGTGAGGGTGTGTGGAGGTGTGTGGAGGTGTGTGGGGGTGTGTGGGTGTGTGTGGGGGTGTGTGGGGTGTGTGGAGGTGTGTGGGTGTGTGTGAGGGTGTGTGGAGTGTGGGGTGTGTGGGGTGTGGTGGTGTGTGGGGTGTGTGGAGGTGTGGGAGTGTGAGGGTGTGTCGGGGTGTGTGGAGGTGTGTCGGGGTGTGTGGAGGTGGGTGGGGGTGTGTGGAGGTGTGTGTGTGTGGTATGTGGTCAAACATATGGCCACACACTTGAACACTACGTCCTCGACTGTGTGAAGATAGAACCTTTTAGGAATCAGGGGTGCTTGAGGACATTCTTGCTGTTTATCCCAAATTTGCTAGCCCACACTGATTAGTCTTCAATTAGAATATGACGTCCAATGTATATGAACCTCTGTCCTGCGTGGCAGTGAAAAGTGATACCGCCCTCAGTGTCAAAACCTGACTGAATTACTCAGAATAGGCAAACTGTACTCCAAGCTTTGTCAATAAATTTGTTAAACTATAAAAGGGACGGGTCCAAACACACTGTGTGTGAAATGGCACAACAGTTCATCTCTAAAGGCAAGACAGCCGACATATTAAGATTGTATCAACCTTTTTGCACTTAGTAGCTGTATCAGTTCCCATGTCTAGAACCAAAAACACAATGCGCTTGAATACTTCTCACGCAAATGTGAATGACAAAGTGTGCGGCCAGACATACTGCCTCACACTCCTGTACTCACGCAGTTGCGAATAAGTTACCCTTTATGTACAGAACTAAACAAAGAATGTATTTGAAATACTGTGTAACATTCAATGCCATAATATCCTGACCACGTGGGTTAATTATTATGACCCTTTGTGACCTCTACTCTGTAATCCTTTTGCGTTAACGCTCACAGGATGTGTATGGGGTGCACAATAAACTAGCAAATTTAAAAAAGTGGCAAATTTAAAAAAGTGACAAATTTAAAAAAAAAATAATGTAAACACTACCAACATACCTGACAACACCAGTACACACCTGCCAACACCTGTACACCTTACCAACACACCTGACAACACCAGTACACACCTGCCAACACCTGTACACCTTACCAACACACCTAACAACACCAGTACACACCTAACAACACCAGTACACACCTGCCAACACCTGTACACCCTACCAACATACTTGACAACACCAATACACACACCTCCCAACACCTGTACACCCTACCAACACACCTAACAACACAGCACACACCTGCCAACACCTGTACACCTTACCAACACACCTAACAACACCAGTACACACCTGCCAACACCTGTACACCCTACCAACATACCTGACAACACCCACACCTGCCAACACCTGTACACCTCCCAACACCAATACACACCTCCCAACACCTGTACACCCTACCAACATACCTGACAACACCAAAACACACCTGTCAACACCTGTACACACCTGCCAACACCAGTACACACCTGCCAACACCTGTATACTGGAATCAAGAAAAAACACAACAATGACCTTCTCTTTGTTTCTACGTCTCCCTTGACTAACACTAAACTCTCTCTCTCTCTCTCTCTCTCTCTCTCTCTCTCCTAAAGAAAGAAAGAAAGAAAGCTCCACATCCTGGCCTATTAGAAAGTTTCATTTTCTTTCTTTCTTTACATCTTCAATAAGGTCTATACCCCTGAACACAACCCCAACGGGAATATTTTATTGATGCGTCTGGTGTGAATATTTCCTCAGTTTTCACTCATTGTGGTGAAGAAGCGATTGTTCTCTCGGGGTTGAGGAGGGGAGGGGTTGAGGTGGTGTGCTAATATGTTTTGCCCCTTTCCTTCTCCTTTAATTTTTCCCCCACCCCTTTCCTTCAGCCCCTTCCTCCTTTCCATCCTGTCCTCCCGTCAACCCCCTCTCCCTTCCCTCTCACCTTCTCCTCCTGTCAGCTTCTTCCCTTCCTCCCACCCCCTCTCTACCCCCTGCATATACCGGTAATTAAGTGTTGTACTATAAACTATATCTTCCTTGCTAATTACCAGGTGTTATATCCTAATTAGCCTCATATAACATTACATAACATCATTAGTTAATTACACACCTTTAATCAATGATCACATGACATACAAACACACCTGGCATGCTTTAAGTAGACAATAAGATCACATGACACACCTACACACCTGTTAATTACCACCCGGCATGCGTTAATGAGCGTCACCACTCTAACAACCTCATCATCTGGGTCGTTAGCTGTTGTTGTCTAGTCATTTGGAAACCGCAAGAAAATATGTCAGGTTCTCG